TGAGATATTCAACATGGTCACTACACGACAGAATACTTTTAAACTTCGTCTCCGTAAGTACACTCAGATATGTTCCCTTGTTAGTAAATGTTGACAAGAATCAATTTTTGCACTGTTTTATATATAGTTCGGATAAAGAAGCTGTCAGGATATAAGAGCCACTTTTTGATTCCCCGACTGGGCTCTTATAAGCGGATTCGACTGTATATCAGATTTTATTTATTGATCATCTGTACTCATGATTGATTTTTCTCAAGAAATATTTTGAGTCCAATTTAGTTACTTTTCTTAAATTTCCAGAAATTATTCAAGATTCTCTTATAACTCTAGAGATGTATTCCGGTTTTGATAAGTTATTTTAAAACATTGTTTTCTAGTAAAAAAGTAATTGGGAATTTGTTATTCTTCTAAACATTTTATTTGTATTGTAAATAAATATAATAAACAAAAGCTCTTTCAAGATAATTATTATTTTGTGAATTTTCAAAGTTTATCCTTTGAAAGAAAACAAGTTCAACACGATCATATGAAAGAAGATTGTTGTTTATAAAACTAATTAAATATATTATTATTAAATACTGCTTGACGATACATACTGTTTTTTTGCTGAAAATAGTATGAATTTATTATTATTTTTGATATTTGAAACTTTTATTCACAAATTTATTTTTGGGGAAAAAAATTTTTTTTTTTGTGAATATGGGCACGTTAAGAAAGAAAGAAAAAAAAGAGATGCTTCTTTACCAATTAATTATTCATTTCAATAAAATGTTTTCTTTTCAACAGTATATTTTTCTTGATAGTTTGTTTTTCCTTTATGTTGAAGGTGACTATGCATAACATTTTTTTTTCCATCAGATTAAATAGAACAGATTATTATCTGTTGTTAATCAAGTTATGATTAGTAAAGATTTTTTCTGATAAATCTTTATTAAACTTCTGAAATTTATTTTGTCTATTTTTTAAGACTCACAATTCATAATAGAGAGAATTTTCTTTTTTTGTTTCCATTCGATTAGTTGTAAGGTCGACATAGTGATAGATAACTATTTCAAGAAAATAGTATTATATAGCTAAGTTAATGAACAACATCATCTTTCTATTTCGTCATCAATTGCACAACAGACAACTTGATTTTTTTCTTAGTTGTAACGCTATTACATATAATCTCTATCTCTTTCTTACTCAAAGATATCAAAATGAATTTTACTAGGTGAGAGCCAAAGTTGTTTCCACTATTTGGTAAAACATTACTTGAAAGCAAAATTGATCGATAGTTGAGATGTTACTTTATTTTTATTTTTCTGAAATTTTCAAAAATCATTCTTTCCTCTTTAAAAGGTAATGGTTAAATAAAACTCTTAATACATGGAAGTGAAAGTTGACAGTCGTCTCCTACATCTTACTTTTCTTTTGTCTCTTCAAACATGACTAACATTATTTCCAAATTGAAATCTTTTGTTATTTTTTATTCGTATACGATCATTGAATTATTAGAGAAAGTCTAGAAGTAGAATAATATAATCTTAATTGATAAACCAAAAAATATGTCTCTTTGATAATAACATTCAATTAGTTCTTGTTTCATAATTTAATCTTTTAGGGATTTTGCTAAAAGTTTTTCTTTTTTTCTATTTTATATCCAAATTTATTACTGAACATTTAATAAAATATTATAGATAATTAACTGCGACGAATAAACTTTTATATTCTCGTCAAAAAGATCAAAGAATGTAAAGTTTTGTTCAAATAGATTCATCAATTCCATAGAGTGATGTATGAGAGACTATTTCCTACACTTAAGAAAACAAACACTTTATTTTCATTTAAAATATGGGATATGATAGGCTAAGGGCGAGAAATATCTTTTCAATCGATTGTGATACTAAGCAGATAAAAGAGTAGAATGTGTGGAGATTGAGGTGTTTTATCTTGAAAACTCGAGTTCTTCTCGAACTCACTGAAGCTCAGTGTTGTCATAAACACATTTATTTTTGGGAAGGAATGAAAGTGAGCGTCAAATATGAGTTAGAATCTAATCAATTTTTCTATTTATTGTTCATAGATAGTTTGTCGTGAATGACAACAGAATCATAGAGGAGAAAGGAGAGGTTTAAGTATTGAGAATCAGGATGAAGACAGCCATGAGATACGTAATATCATCTACTAACTCATTACCTTGATGTCGTCGGCGATTCTGCCATTGTTGATCACAAACATTCCGGAGGAGTATTAGAATTTATGTACAATTTTTTAATGTATTTATTGGGCTGAATATCTTCTGACATATATCAAATTTTGTATAGTTACTCAGTTCAAATTATAGTGAAAATTAAATAGATCATTAGATAATCTTTGAATCTTTTCTTAATTCATAATTCTAGAGTTAAATTATTCTATTTATTGGTTACCAAATGGATGAAATGAATGCAACAACTGATAAAATCTTGATATCGAGTAGTTTAAATCAACCTAAATTAAGACCATCAGTGATGATATCATGTTTTAAAAAGGTTTTTTTAATAATACCATTCATTATAATATTTATTTTGTTCATTCTAACTATATTTTTACATAAACATGTATTATATTCATGGATTAATAATAATGCAACAACAACAACAACAACAACAACAATATCGGGATATCGTACTGCTCATTGCATAACAGGTATTCCTCGAACACTTTATAAAGAGGAATTATATGTCGCTTATCGTCGACAAGCACTCAACAAATTACCAGGTGATCTATTTGTTATTCTAGAACTTATGAATAAAACTGACACCATTCATGGAGTTACTATTACCGATAATCAACCAAAAAGATATACTGCTGCGTTGAAATATCTAACACCACGCAAAATCGAATGGATACCTTCAAATAATCGTTTAGGAGCTTTAGATGATGAACATGGATATTCTAGATGGCAACGTTGTTTGGAGCATATTGAACAAGCTGAAAAACAAGATGGAATAAAATATGATTTTATTGTTCGAACTCGACCTGATTTATATATTGCTAAAGATTTACCGACAGCTGATCTATTACCTAAAAATCGAATACTTATTAATCCATACTATGAATTTTTCCAAGATATGCCTTCAGGATACAATCACACTTGGCCTGATCTTCAAGCTCCTGTTAATAAAACAGACTTTGGCATTTCAAGTTTATTTGCTATTATTCCAAGATCATTAGCAGATCCTTATATGCGTGTAGCATACACACCAAATCTCCCACGTCATATTTGTGGCTCACGTGCTAAGGATGGAGATTGTGCAATTCGAGCAGCATTATATAAGGCTAATATTACATTCGAACTATGGCCTTTTGTAATAAGAATTATGTATCCAGCTCAGTTTTGTCATGCGAAAGATGAAGATTGGTTCAATAGTTGGTGTTGAATAACTATTCCTGATAAAAAGATACCTGCATAGACAATATGAACAAAACTCTTTTCATTTTAATACATTCTCATTTGGATATATGTGAAGTAATACGGATGTTTTACAATTATCAAAAGATAAATATAAAATCTTGAGTGTGGGTGTGGGTGTGGTTGTAGGGGTGGATATCTCGTGCTGATACCCACCTCACACCCATACCCTCAAGATGCTCATATAACTGTTGTTACAATCTCATTTAGACTCAATCTAAAAGACTCACCTCCTTTTTTCTTATTTTGCTAATATTATCTTGTCGCCTTCCTGCACCACTATACATATACTCATGCTCTCTCTCCTACATTCTGACATGTGTGCTTCTCACTTTCTACTTCGTTCAAATATATTCTCTTTCTTTTTTTCCTATATGCTTTGTCGTATAAATAAAACTGTCGATTTTCAACGAGATGCGACTTATACTATGGATATATCTTCTTATACGATCAAACACGATTCTCAATTCTACGATATACATGTGTCAGCAGAGAAGGAACGTATGGATCGGTGTGAGTTGGCGCAGTACAGTAAAATCATATTCTTACTTACGTCCACATTTACACCCTCATTCTCAAAATCAAGAAACATACAAAAAAAACAAGTGAAGGCGATTTCGATACACTATTGATACCAGCAGATATGCGTGTCCTGAGTAGAAAATCAAAACTACAAATTTGACCACATAACATTTGGATCCTTGATAGAAAAAAGATGAAGTTGGCATATGTGTTCGAAAAGCACGTAGAGAAAAACGCCTCTCACGGCGCCGTACCTCCGCCCAATCATGACTTCTCTGCCAGCAGAGTCCGACGAAAAAGTTTTTATTAGATTTTTATTTTTATAATCTTGATTATACATTGTTAAAATATCTAACAAAGGTATAACAAAAAACGCTATATATATGCTACTAGTTTCAGATAACCTGAAGTAATATCTTCAAGTTAAAACCTTTCTATAAATTTTTCATCGAGATCATCCATTTTTTGATCAACTGCACCAATCAATGCTTTAACGATGTATTCACCTTTAGAAAATTGAAAATTTGTGCCTTGCCATTGATGAACTCTCTTTCTTTCTGTATGAAAATCATCCGTCACATCAACATTCTTCATTGTTTTATCCCAGTCATATAGATAATCTACACAATTACGATCATCAGTGCAAATTAAAAACTTGACAAAAGTCGTGTCCACTTGCCGTTCTACATTCATCAGATGTTTAAGTTCATCAACGTTCACATTTCCTTCATCATCAGTTGATGCTCCGTCAGTTGCAACAAATACTAATGCTTTCTTATCATAACCTCGACGTGTTGCTGGTAATTGAAATATGTTTTTCAGAGTACGTACTAATGGTGTATAACCATCTGGTGATTTAGCGAATGCATGATCAATTGTTTCAGGATTTTTTACATTAAGAATCGGTTTACGATTGAGAAAATAAATATCAACACCCGATTCATCAAATATTATTCCGATTTCTAAAATAATCCTAACAAATTCTCGAAGCTCATCCCATCGAGTTCGTGGTGAATTGTCCACAGATGTTTTCATTGAACCTGAATCATCACATACGATAATAAGTTCATATTTTGCAAGTACATGAAGACGATCGGCAAATTTTTTTGGAATTTCATATTTCAAAATTACTTTTTGAAGGCGTTCATCAACTAAAAATATATAAACAAATAACTAGAAAAAAATATCAAAGAGTAACTCTCATTATTTACCTCTTAGTGTTGTAGGATATGAAACACTTTGATGAGAAGAACTAACAGAAGGACGAGCTGGAGCTTCAAAAAAAAATATTTTATTATAAATAACGATATTTTCAATAAAAAAATCTTCTTACTGTGGAATCGATGAGATTCTTCTTCACCTATATATGAAATATCACTACTATCTCCACGTGAAATATTACGCTCCCTTGAATATGGATTACTACTCGAGGGTGGTGTTTCTGGAACATAATTTGAGTCTGCTGAATCTATACTCTCTAAAAAAAAGAACATTTTTTTCTCAAAAAATAAAACATTTCCAACTTACTTTGTTTTCCTTTTTGTCGATGTTTCATCATCATGTATTAGTAGAGCTTATTTTGGAAAATGTACAAATATACGACTTCCAATGTGAATATATATATATATATCGAAACGTGTGACATATTTCGTTTTTCATTCTGTACTTCCTTGGTTTTTTCCATCATTACTATACTTACATCATCTACCTGTATACTCTCAATATCGACAGTATAATTATCTTCGTTACGCCTTCGTCTGAATGGTAAAACATGGATTTATATAAGAATCAATCACAGATTGAATATTATGTTTATATTTTTAATTTGAGACATTATTGAAATTTGAAAAATGAAATAAATTAAATGTTTAAATTTCGATGACTACTAGCTCTAGTTTCTTTCATGACGTACTTTGCAATATATTTTATTTTTTGTACACTTGATTTTTTCCTACTACATTCTTTATACACAGTCAAGTAGAGTTTGTTTAGGAAATTCTGCAACGAGTGGTAAATACTATATGCACACCCATCGTCACCCTTTTGCTTGACAAACATCGGAGCGAGTTTTGTTGTCTTTTTTCGTATTCAACATTGATGTTTTCGGCGAAAACACAAGCGAAGAAATGTTATCGATGTTCTCCTATTGAGTATTCGTCGAAAACAGGACAAATATAAGCATCTCTCAAGTGTAATATAAAACCTGCATTATCTCATGCTTACTTTACTTTTGAATGATGACGTTTTTATGAAAACTTTGTCATTTACTATGTTAAGTGTGGGTATTCTAACCATCTCCCACACACACACTCTCAATACTATTTTTCCAACATTTTTGGTTGTTCTACCAAGATATTTTCTTGAATAAAGATCGAATAGTCAAGAAAAAGATCGCTACTTCCAAGCATGTCTACACCTTATACGAGCTGACGCTTTAGAGATATGAAAGGCTCCTGACCTTGTAACTGTGAATATAATAATATTTTAACCATATATGTCTCTAGTGTAAGGTGTATATTCAGTTAAAACAAATTAAAGAGTAGATAAAAATGCCTAGAATGCTATAAAGTAATATATAATACGATGATAAAAAATGAAATATTTTAATTATTCGAGAAACGTTCCAAGCAATGAAAACTGTAGTTCATTTTTTTATTATTCATTATAGCTAATTTGGTGATATGCTCGTAAAGAAACAAATGTATTTATTAGAATGAAATATAAAATAAGAGTGGATTTCTTTGGACTTATGCATTAATAAAACATGGCACATATTGATCGTAGCTTTTCAAAAAAAGTATTTATTTTTCGTTACCGATAGACTTTCTTAAATATTCTATTGAGGGAATGAATGATGATTTTAAATGATTAAACAAAGAAATTCTTTTAGTAGTCAGTTATTATTATTCTGTTATGCGAAAATAATCAGCAATACTATTCATTTTTTTGTCTTGAAACAGAAAGCATTATAAAATATTTGTGGGTGTGGGTGTATTTTATTTATCTCACTCACATCGATCCTTTCTCATTTTATATGATAATCAAAAAGAATTAGCAGTACTCAATTTTAAATTATTTTTATTAAGGAAAAATTAAACATAAGAGAAAATGAACAAAGATGAAGTGAAAAATCAATGATGAATAACATTATTATGACAAATGAAATCTGGAGATGATGTATTAAGTTGAATAATAGTATTAATTGTAGATTGATCTAATGGTTGTGTTTGATTATTATCATCAAGTAACATCCAACCAAGAATTGTATAATTATCTCTAATATAATAATTTCCATTTAGAAAATCATATGGAATTTCTCGAGAATAATTTCCGGACCAATATAAAGGATCCCAATTTTCTTCGGCAACTCGAATGGAATTTGGTAAAACATCAATAATAACAGCAACATGTCCTTGTGGCATATCAACTCCTGAACAGCTATAAATAAGTAAAGATTCATTTACTGGTGAAGAAGAAGAGCCATTTGCATATTTTTTAAAAGAAAAACATTTTTTATCAACAACTCTTTGAGCATAATCTACTTGAGTCCACATATCTGCAGCACCCTCAATACTTTTAAAAACACAACCTTTACGTATAAAAAGCCATCGACGTGAATATTCAACACATTGCCATTTAATTCCCATATATATTCCATATAAATAAGAGTTTTCTTTGGATGTATAAGTATCATTTCCATTTGAATAAGCTTCAACATTTGTTGATGCATAGCCCATTATTTCATTGAATGGAACCTTTCTTGTATTATCTATTAATTTATTTAAAACGTTATTTATCTTTAACTATGGATGATAAAAAAAGTCTATTGTAAACTACCTGATACCGATTGGATGTTTACAAGATTGTCACATTTCACAAGTAGAAAAATATTTGTAAAGAAGAAGAAAATCAATATGTACTCCATTATCAAACAGGTTTCAATCAACGGAATCCAATTCAAATAATACTGGATATGTCTTTCCAAATAGAAAGAAGAAACGATCGTAAAACAGTACCTCGTGGAAAATAGAATTTCGATATCTTTACATATGAGGCACCGTAAATAAAACTAATCTCGACATTCGAATATACAAATTTATCACATGACACGTGTTTTTTCTCCTTTCCAATAATAAAATATTCAAATGGTCCCATACATATAAGTGTACTTAGACAGTTGATTGTATCTTACATATTTTTGATTATTAATACAAGTTAAATATTTTAATTTGTTGATTATATTCGAATAAATTGGTCAACTAATTTAGAAGTAATCCAATTACTTCTATTATTTTCTATACATTGAATGGAAATAATTTGATGTCAAAATTTTTTCCATAGATAATTCTTTTACAAATGAAGAACAAATGAATTTATTCGAACATGTAAATAAAGGAACGAAAAAAACAAAGAAATATCAAGGTCAAAGACAAAAGATACAACTGAAGTGAAATTATCATATAGAATATACCATACAAATAAAGAATAGAAAGAAATCGAAGTATGAATGAAGTAACATATTGGAATAAATCAAATTTTTTTCAAATAATATTAAAGAAATATTATCAAAATATCACTGATCAACGTTTGTGCCACTATTATTTTTTCTTTTACATGGAAAAGAATATTTCTTTATAAATAAATTATGATTATCATCATAATCTTTTATACATAAAAACAATACTAACATGATCATTTAAAAAATAGTTTTCTGACAGCATGCACCTATACAATTAATCACACGCACTTCCTGACTGAACAACATGTTATTTGTCTACACATGACAAGATAGTTTCCGTCCTCGAAAAAAGACACAAAAGAGTAAATGTAGTCGATGTACCCAACGGCAATAATTCGATTGTTTAGTTGATTCAACAAGAAAAAGGTTGGACTTGTCAATGTAGAGAATATATGATTGTTGACGATAGCAATTATACTCACATAGACTTCTCATTCAATGAGACAAGCAGATGACAGGTCCGTCTAAAAGATAGAAAATTTTTTTTCCTAAAGTCACATTTTGCATTTTCTCTATCAGAAAATTTGATAGATCATATTCTATTGATAAAACCTTACGAAAAAAATACATCCTTCAAGTGTTTATTATTTCGTCGATGTAGGTATTTTCTAATATAATTTAATTCACTACATTTCGAAGAACGATCGATTGTTGTTATCAGATGAAAAAATAATTCCTAACACTTGCAAAATATTTATTGTTTATACATATTCATAATCATAGTTTTTTAGCGGATGGAAATTAATTAAATCGATTTTTTTTCTATCTTGTCTTAAATCCAACAACATTTCGATGTTTTAGTTGGTTCTTTTGTATTATCTGATGTTGAATTATCTTTCAGTGACATTAAATAATGCATTGTAAAAAAATCATTTTGTATCCAAAAAAATTTATTAACTGCCATTAGAATTCCACGTTTCGTCTGTTCATCTACACTATCCGCATTAAATAGAACATCAATAAGTAGATGCTCTAAAAATCCAAGTAATGCATTTATATGTATATAATCAACATTAATTGATGTTGAACCAGATTGACTTGTATGCATTTTACCAACTTGTGATAAAAATTGAAGAAATGTATCATTCCAATCAGTTTGTGTCAATACACGTTTTAAATAAACACTTAACATATCTTTTCGAAATGTCATTTGTGCTGAATCTACTGTTAATCCACAATCTTTTTTAGGCATAAAACCCTGAAAACCATCATTACGAATAAGAAAATATTGTTTTGTTATATCAAATGAAAATAATTTTCTATAAACTGCATCGGATAAAACTGGTATAAGTGGAAAAACAATGGGTGCAAATGTATTAAGCATCGCTATATCATCCGAATTAAAATTAAGAAATTTAGATAAATAATCAAAACGATAACGAAGATCTGATTGAAGTCGATTACCATCAATATGTTCGACCATTGTAACAAAAAAAGAATTTATTGTGATGCCAAAGCGTTAGTTCGTCTTCTTTTTTTCTTTTTCTCCAAGAATAGTTCTTTTCTCCTTCGCTTATTCTCTTATCTCGTATTATATAGAAAAAAACATGAAGCTTTATTATGCATGATTTCTGAACCATCGTCATTTTACATAACACATCAATACAATCTATAGAATCTACTAGTTATTTTCATTAGACTTTCCGCTTCGGAAAATGCTGGCTAATTCATTCATACGATGAGAATAACTCAGAAACAATGTAATGTTAAATCAAATATTTCCATAAAAATAGAAAAGAACAATCAATATTAGCGTGTTCAACCAGAAAAATTGCTTTACATGACATAATTTAGTGTCTACTAGTACATTATCTTCTCGAATAATTATCTTTTAAAATTTATGAATTAAATCTTTTTATAATAATAGTATTTTCCATTAAAAAATGTATAGTTTAATGATAATAAAACGACTAATCCAAGCGTAGAATTTATTCATGGAAAATTGTTATATGAGTAGAGAGCGCACATTTATGAAGTGTGCTTGAACTAATACATATTTCAAGGATATTTTATCTTAAATAACCATAATTGATTAA